CATTACTTTGGCGGCTCATAGCACTCTTGCTTCTCAGCAAGAAGGTTCTGGGTTCAGATCCCAGTCAGAGAAGAGCCTTTCTGAGTGGAGTTTTCATGCTGTTCTCCCCTTGTCTGCATATGTTTCACTAAAAACTATCACTAAAAACATGCACAATATAAGTCCTCCTCCTGAGAGAGGCCCAAGTGGTGGATGGGTCTAATGCAGAGGACAAAGTTCCCTATGGGGGTAAATAAAACTGCACATGAAGCCCCTGCTGGAAGATCTCAGCTCCTGTGGACTCAGCACCTGCAGGAGGATCAGTGAGGGGCTGGTGCTCTGACTGCCACCCCCCACCCAGAAATGGATTAAGCGGAAGAAAATGGATGTATGAATGCACATTTACATTTGCTCAACAAAGAAGCAGACAACTGTGAATATTAAGCAAAATGATACAAAAATGTTGGGGATTGCACGAGTGAATGCTCTGTGGAAGATAAGACTTTATTAATCTCTCACAGGAGAAAGGTTCATGTCCCATTGGGACAGGAACACTCAAGAATGGTGCAAAAGTAAGAAATGTGCAGCGTGTTAATGCAGGATGTATTAAGTACAAAAAAGTGGCGATTAGAAAGAAGTGTCAATAGTAGTACAGGTTACTTCTCATAGTGCAGTGACTTAAAGTGACTTATTGTACAGTCTGACAGCGGTGGGGATAAAGGCCCTGCTCCTTCTTCCACTGAAGGAGCTCCTCAGCTCCTCCTCCGTCCTGTGCAGTGGGAGGTGTTGTTCATGAAGGATTTTCATCCAATAATGTCCTGTATTTTGCTCCATCCTCCTTTTCTTCAACTGTGACACTCTTCCCTGTCCTTGTCACTGTTGTTTTTGACACAATACTACCATTTCTCTCAAACATTGTTCACAAATCTGTCTAAATGTGTGATAGTGAGCACTTCTGCTTTGCTGAGATAATCCATCCCCATCAAGATGTTGATCTGACATCATGATGAGTGCACAGCCTTAGACTGTCCACGATAAAGGCCACTCTGAAATGTGCATTATTTTGCTTTATTGCGGGTCTGGGGACTCAGAACCAGTCAGTATCTGGGTCTGGGGACTCAGAACCAGTCAGTATCTGGTGTGAGCATTTGTTTGCAGCGCAACACATCTTCTTTGCATAGAGTTTATCAGATTGTCTGTGGCCTGTGGAATGTTGGCCCACTCCTCTTCAATGGCTGTGCTGCTGGATATCAGTGGGAACTGGTGCACGCTGTCGTTTCAGCTTCCAACAATTATGTACAGATCCTTGCAACATGGGGCCGTGCATTATCTGCTGAAACATGATGTTCATGGATGTACGGCACAACAATGGGCCTCAGGATCTCATCACGGTATCTCTGTGCATTCATAATGCAGTGTTCTTTGACCATAACAGATGCTGCCCATACCATAACCCCACCACCCCCATGGGCCGTACCATAACCCCACCATACCATAACCACACCACCGCCATGGGCCATACCATAACCCCACCCCCATGGCCCATACCATAACCCCACCACCCCCATGGCCCATACCATAACCCCACCACCCCCATGGCCCATACCATAACCACACCACCCCCATGGGCCATACCATAACCCCACCACCCCCATGGCCCATACCATAACCACACCACCCCCATGGGCCATACCATAACCCCACCACCCCCATGGCCCATACCATAACCACACCACCCCCATGGGCCATACCATAACCCCACCACCCCCATGGGCCATACCATAACCACACCACCCCCATGGCCCATACCATAACCCCACCACCCCCATGGCCCATACCATAACCACACCACCCCCATGGCCCATACCATAACCACACCACCCCCATGGGCCATACCATAACCCCACCACCCCCATGGCCCATACCATAACCACACCACCCCCATGGCCCATACCATAACCACACCACCCCCATGGGCCATACCATAACCCCACCACCCCCATGGCCCATACCATAACCACCACCACCCCCATGGCCCATACCATAACCCCACCACCCCCTGGCCCATACCATAACCCCACCACCCCCATGGGCCATACCATAACCCCACCACCCCCATGGGCCATACCATAACCCCACCACCACAATGGGGCATGGAAAATGGGAGCAAAAACAAAAGCGTTTGTATTTTTGTTGGGTGTCGTACACTGACGTCTCATACACACTGGGTGCCGCGGGGCAAATTTCTGATGCGCACCTGATGTAGAAATGGTGAGAGCATGCACACCGAGCTATCACATATGTATATATGTATATATGTATATATATGGGCATCTGAAGCCCTGTTTAGACGCTGCAAAGCAATTAGCAAAAACGATCAGGCTCCTTATTGGAAGTACACACCGTCTACACTACGACAGAAAACAAAGTAGTTCTAGCGCCCGGTCAGTAGTGGGCAGTGGAACATTACAACACAACACGCGTGACCCCCAGCAGAATAATCACTTCCTCAACAACATCCTCCTCAGGCCACCGCAAAGACATGAAAGACCAACATTATTCTGTGTTTAACAGTAGCAGCGAAAATGGAAACTGAAACTGCAACTTTGCGTGGTTTCGTTTGTACTGACGAAAGAGTAGAATTCTCCTCCGTGTAGCACTTGAAGCACACATTAGCATTTGTTGACTCGCCACTATTGTTATTTAAGTTGGTTCTCGGCTACGGCGCATGTCCAAATGTACGGCGCATGTCCAAATGTACGGCGCATGTCCAAATGTACGGCACATGTCCAAATGTACGTGCGGGGAAGTGTTGAGGCCATAGCAGGCAGAGAATTCACACCTTTCACAGCGTATCTGTTCTGTTCCACTCAGATGTTTCTCTTAAACCTTGCGTTCCCCCCTGAACACCGTCTTCATGTAAACGGAGGCCAAACCGATGCCCAACTCTACTGTTTTACTATCCCACCTGAATTCTGCTGCTTTATTCAGCCGTCTGGTTCTTCTTCATAGACTACACAGGGCAGTGTGTGTGTGTGTGTGTGTGTGTGTGTGTTTACATTCTGCACTCATCTGACCCCAACACCTTCTTCCACATGTTGGCTGTGTCAAAAGTAATACATAAATGAATAGATAGATTAGAGGTCAGAAGAAAAAAAAACTAAACCTCTCATCTCTCTGACTGTTGCACTGAGCCAAAGCAATGTCCAAGTCTGTGACCTCCTGTTACTTACGTGGCAATAAAAATGATTCTGATTCTGATTCTGATTGTATTCTTTTGTCCAGCGGCTCATTCGTTTCCCTCCTGTTGACTTTAGTTTAATCCTGCAAATTGTAACTTTATTTTCAAAACCTCAAAAGGTGGATAGTGATTGGAGTAAACAATGGTTCTCTGGTGCTGTTCTAAAAGGAGGTAACGGAGAGAGTTATGGATTCAGCTCAGTTCACGTTTCCATCTCTGTTTCCTGTACTCAGTGTGTGCTCTCCTACGTCCTGAGCTCTTCCAAAGCCCTGGAGCCTTTGGGGCAGACTGCTGCTGTGAAGAAGTCCCACTACAGCAGCTGCTCCGCCCTTTGTCCTTCACACGATCATCCCATTCTCTGCTGCTGTTGTTTTTGTCTGAAACTCTTTTCTTAAACCTGTACGATTCCATTGATAAATAAACGTCCACAGAGGAGATAAAAAGTGAGCCATTGTAACAAGTCTGTTCAGAACACAACTTTTGTGGAACTTTTTACATTTCTTTTACCAAATGATTATTTTCATTGAATATGTGCATGGTTATTCTTTGGTTATTCTTTGGTTATTCTTTGGTTATTCTTTGGTTATTCGTTCCATAAAAAGACCTGGTGCAAAAAGATTTATAAATGTTTTCAATGAAAGATTTCTTGTTACGTTTTGAATTGTTGAAATTAACAAAACATTTGGAATGGTAGAGCATAAACGTTTCTTATTTTACAGTTATAACATATTCATAACATAATCATGTACAGTAAGTATTTTAACTATAACTATAAATTAATTCCTCTGTATATATATATATTTTAAACCAGAATACCTAATTCATTTGTTTATCACTTTTCTGTCTGAAAAAATACATTTATGTGAAAACTAGTTAAAGAACCAAACGGTTTTACTGTAATCATTAATGACAGTTTGTCTAAAGTGATGCAAATGTTCTCTCCCTTAACTGAGCGGGTTTATGGGAAACTTTGAGGCTGTTTTTTGGATTTCTGCTGACCTTACCTATAAATGCTCAGATATCCACACCTAATAATTCAAAATGCCTCTGGGCACATATCTGAATTAAAGTCTCAAACACAAGACTGAAACGTGTAAAGCATTAAAAGTTAATTTAAACTTAAATGTCTTGGTTTTGGTCTTTTCTACACTATAACAATCACATCCCAGTGCTTTCAAACCAACCCTCTCTTTTGAATGAAAAAATTGCATTGTGATATCGTATCTGACTGTGTGTCAAACAGATTTAGTCCTGCAGTGCCGAGCTTATCTTGAAGAGTTTTCTGTCATAGACACTTTTCAAATAGACCACTCTCCTCCGATCATCGGCAAAGAAATGTGGGGCAGGGACGCTTATGGCCGTAATAAACACAAACAACAAATGACTTTAATATCTGAGAATGTAAATTATGTGAATAACTATATTAAAAACAATTTCAGTGGGGAATAAAAAAGGAAGATGTGGTCAAAGGCTCCTCCAAATAATGTGTACATTAATGTGCGAGTAATGGGCTCCTCTTGATGCACACACATGTGGCACAGGGACCTTTGTGCACCTGACCATTCAAGGGCCACCTTAAGGTGCTCCATGTGACAGTGGTTTTTCATATTATCACCTGCCATGGCCTGTGACTGATGCTCCTCATCCTGTCAAAAACTGTATACAGTATACTCCTGAAGATTGGCTCCCAGTTGTGACACGTGTGTGTGTGTGTCTTTGTGTGTGTGTGTGTGTGCTCTGTGTGTGTGTGTGTGTGTGTCTGTGTGTGCTCTGTCCACAGTATGAGTTTAAAGCGAAGAATATCAAGAAGAAGAAGGTCCACATTATGGTGTCAACCGACGGGGTCAAGGTGGCACTTCGGAAGAAGAAAAAAGTGAGCTAAACACTTGGACTACTCACATCTTTTGCCCATTCTGTTATTTCCGTGCATGTTTTATTTCTTTGCATGTTTTATTTCTTTGCATGTTTTATGTCCTTGCATGTGTTAATATCATGTGCCCATTTTCTCAGAAGACAGGTGCAGTGAGTCCACACCTAAATGTGGCTAAAATAATATGATGCATACATTGGTATTTTTTGTATTTTGTATTTTGTATTTATTTGTTTGTTTCAAACATGCAGATACAGACAAAATGTTTAAGTTCACATGAATTCCGGAGGAATTGTTTGAAAAGGAGTGGGTGAAAGTAAAAAACTTATTTAGTCCCACCCCTTATCCAAAAAAGTGTTTTACTTTAGTTATGTGTTCCACATTCCTTTTGCTTTTACAGAATATACAAGTAATATATATACATACACTTACACACATATATGTATATTCAGACATACACATACATGCACACACATACGTACATATACACAAATACATATGCATACATACATACACATACACTTTTATACATACACATACACTTTTATATACACATATACGCATACCTACACACACATTATAGAAACATATAGTTTCAATTCCTTCCTAAGGTTTTTGTTTCTCATAACACTTGAAGAATGTATTTTTTAAGCTATTTGTAAATACCTTTATGTTATCACTATTTTTTAATTCCACAGACAATCTATTCCATAATCTTATTCCACATACTGATGCACAGAATCTTTTTCTGGTCGTCCTCACATTTATGAATCTAAAATTACTTTTGTGTCTCAGATTATAAGACTCTTCCCTTTTAATAAACAGTTTCTGAATATTTCCAGGTAAACATTTTTTGTTTGCTTTGAATACCAATTGTAAAGTCTGATACTCTACTAAGTCCAGCAATTTTAGGCATTTAGATTTAAGAAGCAATGGCGTGGTATGATCACGGTAACCCACTTTATGTATATAGCGTATAACTTTCTTTTGAAGAATTACTAAGGGTTGCAAGTTGGTTGTGTAATTATTTCCCCATACTTCAGCACAATATGACAGATAAGGTAAAACTAAAGAATAGTAAAGCATTAGAAGTGTTTTTTGATCCAAATTTTGTCTTGCTCTATAAAGCACTGCAATACTTTTTGAAACTTTATTCTGTACTTGTTTTATATGTGGTTTCCAATTAATATGACTATCCAATGTTACTCCTAAAAATCTAATTTCATTCACTTGTTTAATTTGAACACCATCCAGTAAAATATCCACTTTAATATTATTCATACCATTACCAAAATACATTATTTTAGTTTTGTCTATATTAAGAGACAATTTGTTTATATTTAACCATAATTTAAATGTATTTAATTCTCTAGTTACATCTTTGATTAATTCTTGCAGGTCTGGGTTAGAGCAAAACAAATTTGTATCATCAGCAAACAAAATCGGTTTCAACATAGAAGACACTTGACATAAATCATTGACATAAAGAATAAATAGTTTTGGACCTAATACAGACCCTTGCGGGACACCACAGGTCATGGGCTCACATTGAGATGAGTACTCTCCCATACATGTAAACTGTTTTCGGTCACTGAGATAGCTTTTCACCCACTGTAGTGCAATACCCCTTATCCCATATCGCTCCAATTTCTGGAGTAGAATCGAATGATCTATAGCAGTGTCTCCCAAAGTGGGGTCCGCGGCCCCCTGGTGGGCCGCGAGGGTACTGCAGGGGGGCCGCGGGAGGTTATAAAAAAAATAAAAAAATAATATAATTATTTAATGTTAAATTTATAATGTTTTGTTTGTAATATTAAAATATTTGTGTTCATTATTTGACTTGAATAATCCACTGTAATCATTTTTGTATTACAATGTTTGTAGCAGAGGCTATTTCCCCAAAATAAAATAACCAGAAGAGCCTATTCTTAATGTTGTCTTCTTGGTTATTATTTTGGGGGGCCACGCAGACCCGTCAGATTTTTAAGGGGGCCTCGGTGTTACTGAGTTTGGGAATGGCTGATCTATAGTGTCAAACGCTTTACTAAGATCCACAAATATTCCAATTGCATGTAATTTTTTATCCATTGCTGTTGTGATTTGTTCAACTGTGTCAATAAGTGCTAAAGAAGTTGAGTGATTTGCACGGAATCCATATTGGGATTCTGAGAGTAGATTGTGTTTATTGATAAAAGTTTCCAATTGAGCATTAAAAAGTTTTTCTAGGATTTTGGAGAATTGAGGTAATAGTGAGACAGGTCTATAATTGTTGAAAGTATGTTTATTGCCGGATTTGTAAAGAGGAATAACTTTGGCTATCTTCATTTTATCAGGGAATGTCCCAGTTCTGAAAGATAGATTGCAAATGTATGTCAATGGTTTTGCAATTGCTTCAATTACCTTTTTGATCACTCTCATATCAATATCCTCAAAATCTTTAGATTTCTTATTAGTGCAGCTGCGTACTGTTTGTATAATGTCTCTTTCTTTGACATATGAAATGAACATAGATTTGAGATTGCGGTCAATACGATGTTCTCTCCAACCATCAGGAACTACAACATCAGGTATTTTGCTTGATAAGTCTGAACCCACTTTAACAAAGTAGTCATTAAATTTATCAGCAACATCATTCATATTATACAATTCCTTATTATCAACAAGGAAATAATTTGGGTTAGATCTCTGCTTATTTTTATTATTGATTAAGTCATTAAGAATTTTCCAAATTTCTTTCACGTTATCTTTATTCTTTTCCAACAGTTTAATATAATATTCTTTTTTGCACTTTCTTAATATGTTGGTAAGTTTGTTCCTATATTTTTTATATTTTATTTCGGCGTCTGTTGTTTTCTTTTTAATGAATTCTTTATAAAGTGTGTTCTTCTTTTTACAAGCATTTTTTAATCCTGTGGTGATCCATGGACAGTCTTTGTATTTAGAGTTTATTCTAATATTCTTTATAGGACAATGTTTATTGTACAAGTTTTTAAAAATGAAAATAAATTTCTCGTAAGCCCTATTCACATTATCCTCGTTGATAATACTTTCCCAATTTTCTTCAAATAAATGATCTCTTAAGGCATTCAATGATTCATCTGTTATAATTCTAACAAATTTTTTATGTTTTATTTTATCATTAATTTTGTAGTTGTTATCATGTACAATAAATACAGGAAGATGGTCAGTGATATCACAGAGCAAGATGCCACTCTTTACTTTATTGGAAATGTCATTTGTTAGAATATTATCAATAAGTGTTGCGCAATGGGATGTGATTCTTGTTGGTTTAGTAATAGCTGGGTAAAGAAATAAGCTGTGGATAGTATTGATGTAATCACAAATAACATTCTTACTTTTATTGAGCAAATCAATATTGAAATCGCCACATAAAAACATAGTTTTATGAGTATTTGTAAACATTTCTTCCATCCACTCTGCAAATTTCCCAATATCTGAGTTTGGAGTTCGGTAAATACAACTAATAATAACATTTTTTTTGTTGGCATTATGTATTTCTATTGTAATACATTCTAATAGATTGTCAACAGTGAGTGACATTTTGCTCACTGTTGACACTCATTGGTGGTTCAGTGTTAGGACTCGTGCTTCACAGTGAAAAGGTCCTGGGTTCAAATCCATGTGTATGGAGTTTGCATGTTCTCCCCGTGTCTGCGTATGTTTCCTCCGGCTGCACATCCATGAAATGTCCTGTTCCACCACATCCCAAAGTTGCTCTATTGGATTGAGATCTGGTGACTGTGGAGGCCATCACAGTACAGTGAACTTATTGTCCTGTTCAAGAAACCAGTCTGAGATCATTTGAGCTTTATGACAAGGTTTTATCCTCCTGTAAGTATCCATCAGAAGATGGTACACTGTGGTCATAAAGGGATGGACATGGTCAGCAACAATACTCAGGAGGGCTGTGGCAACGGTGCTCAATGGGTCCAAAGGGACTCAAAGAGGGCCAAGAAAATAGCCCCCACACCATTCCACCCCCACCACCAGCTGAACCGTTACAAGGCAGGATGGATCCATGCTTTCATGTTGCTGACTCTAAATTCTGACCCTACCATACGAATGTCGAAGCAGAATGGAGACTCATCAGACCAGCCAACTTTTTCCAATCTTCTATTGTCCGTTTTCTGTGATTCTGTGCAAATTGTAGCCTCAGTTTCCTGTTTTTAGCTGACAGGAGTGGCCCCCGGTGTGGTCTTCTGCTGCTGAAGCCCATCTGCCTCAGGGTCTGAGGTGTTCTGTGTTCAGAGAGGCTCTTACAGACCTTTGGTGTAACAAGTTCTTATTTGAGTTACTGTGGTCTTTCTATCAGCTCGAACCAGTCTGGTCATTCTCCTCTGACCTCTGGCATCAATAAGGCATTTTCACCCACCAAACTGCCAATCACTTCTCTTTTTCAGACCCTTCTCTGTAAACCCTAGAGATGGTTGTGTGTGAAAATCTTAGTAGATCAGAAGAACAACCATGCCATGTTCAAAGTCACTTAAATCACCTTCTTCCCCATTCTGATCCCATGTGATTGGCTGATTAGGAATTTGCATTAAAGGATAGATGTACCTAATAAAGGGGCCGGTGAGTGTACATTTTCCCATTGGTTTAACAGTTAAAATGACACCTATATTTAAAACATAAAGACCCGATAAATGGGGTTGAGTGTCTTGCACTAGGACACAACGACAGCAGTCATCAGTGGGAGTCGATGGAGAAGGTCTCATGGTGGGCTCGAACCCACGACCTTCAGGCTCAAAGGCCAATGCTCTACAACTGAGCCACTATCGCACTTTGCCTGAAGCCCCCGCTGAAAGATTAAGGCTATGCGTAGAGCAGCCATCTTCCTTTGGACTCAGCTCCTGCAGAGGATCAGTGAGGGGCTGGTGCTCTGTGTACTG